GTGGTGTCATGAGTTAATAAATCAGACAGTCGTGTCACTCTTTATCAATATCTTCTAAGCGTATAATAATGAATACTAATAAATGCTCGTCCGGAATCTCACCTCTATGTATTATATACTATCAGCCAGACGCATATGTTGCTTCTAATTGGCCAGGGGTTGTATTTATGCCAATCTTAAACGATATTTTGTTACTATGTTGTCGATAACATTGCCTTGGCATTAGTAATTTTTTAGCAGAGCACCAGTACGACACTATTTATTGTTTCGGTCATCAGTAGTAGTTATCTTGTCCTCAACCTAGACAACTCTTAGTTCACAGATAGGTTTTATAAATTTCATGTTTTCGTATTATTCACAAAACAAGGTTTTTAAATTCATACCAGTAAATATATGGAAAAAAATACTATGATTGTAAGCGTGCAAACGTTTGAATGAGAGAAGAAATGTGGGAATGCGTGAGTAGTCAGCTGTGCAGAAATTATCGTAAAAATCAAAATTTTTCAACAACCGTGTATAGTGAGGCAAAGAAAGTATATATTTTTTACTCAAAAGTAATGAATGGTAATAAAATATAAATAAAAACTGTACACTATACATTCATAAATTATGTAAGGGGCAATATAATTTTTCTAAAGTATTAGGTATCTGGCTACCTTTTTAAAAAAATATTATCTCATGGTACAAAAGATTTCTTAATAAAAGGGAAAAATTAATGACTAGGAAAAGATTTGTAAAAAAATAGTTGTTTAAATCTTTCAAAACCAAGAGGAAAATATTATGAATTTGAACGGAAACAATAATACTTTATGATAGGAATTAATGAATAAAATATAAAAAATGACATTTTGATTTTATTTTCACACACATTGTTTTATTATTTCATTTCCTTAGAATAAAATAATTGTTTGTCATTTCAAAAGCGTGCAACAATAACCAAATATAAACACAACAATCGTTGACAGCCATGATATTATAATATCGGGTGACACCTAATCGTTAAGTATTGATCGATGTAAACGGAGCAAAGACAATACCTAATAATATGTCATATAAAATTAAATAATAATTATTATTGTAATAATAATAACACGTATCGGCGTACTGCGATAAGGAAAACAAGGGCGGAGGGTCGGTAACAGTGTATATTATAGTTTAACCACGACTATAATCGCTGGCGGGTGGCCAATCGTGATTAGACGAAGCGAAATTACGTGGTGAAAAATCTAAGCGGGTTAAAACAATGTTTTTCGAGGTACCTACATTATCATTATCATTATTATTATTTACGTAGGTACCTATATTATGAGTCAAGACACCGAAGGTCATAATAATATTATAAAACCGTCTAAAATCTATTACTCCGTGCGGCTGACGGTGTCGCGGGATTATATAATAATGATCGTTTGATTTCGGCGGTGGCGGCAACGTCTCTCGATGTCCTCGCATTACGCACACCGATTCCACCGGAAGTTGGCTCTGGTTCCGGTGGTGAGTTGCCAAAAAACCGTTGACCGTTTTATCTAGCGACCCAACCGCGACACCTTGCACACATGACGTGCGCTCACAGACGCGCTCACATACGCACACACACACTCGCACACACACACACACACACACACACACACACATGAGTTTACCCACACAGTATCGCAAGGGGGAGATTTAGTGTCTCGTCGTCGTCATTCTTTCAAACCTCTCCGCCCGAAGACTTACAAACGCCATAAAACTCGTTGCCAATAAATACAAGCTCACTCACTCTCGCGCTGGCGGAGACGATGGCAGCAGGAGGGCTGCTGAGTCCGCAACCCCGCCGCCGTATAATGTGTTACGAGACAAGCGATGGTTTTTGCCTCTTATATATAATAGCCGTCGTCGTCGTAATAGTAATAGTAATGGTAATAATAATAATAATAATAATAATAATAATAGTAATAATAATAGGGTAATATACACATGGCTTCGGCGTTTATCGCATTCGATTTTAGCGCCATGGCCCGATGGAATTTTCAAATAGGATTTTTTCCCAAGCGTGTTGAATGTTGATGCATACATGTATGAACATGCACACGCAGTAGTCACTCTCGTGCAAAACCGCGCAGTTCTGACATGTATATACAATATAATATATATATATATATGCTGTATTAAATCGGCGACGAATAATATGCTGCAGCACGTGCCTCGAGGGTTGGCCGGTTATTTTATTATTTTTTCTTTATCTTTTTTTATCGCCCCACCAACCCCGAGAGGATTTAATGCAGCAATTACGAAATTACAAAAGTAAAAAAATAATAATTGAATTTTTATGGCGTTTTTCCAAAGTTCGGGTAAAAGCTAGCACTCGGGATGTTGATCAGGAACTCCGCATTGTACTTACCGGTGGAGAATGTCTCGCTTTTAAAATAAGTGAACAAAACTTCACAATAATATTCTTCCACGTCGCAATAAATAAAACAGTAACACAATAGTATGTGCTATACGTAATACGTAGGTACCTACCTACCTACCTACTTGATTTTATAATAATATAGTTCTATCGTAAGCCAGTGTCTCCACTGTCTCTCGGATGATATTATCTAAAATCTTAAACTACATTAATCGTATATATTTGTTATACTTTCTGTAAAAAAAGTGTTCGAATTCGGATGCTATCGATATTTTATCCGGATATTATGCCAACTTCGCATATTCAAGATCGTCCTTTACCCTTAAAATAGTATTGTATATAATAATTATAGTTAAATAACCAGTCGAACCACTGGTATTTAGACTTATCGTTTGCCCTACTTTGACATAATAAAAATATTTTATTAAATCTTCATCGGCGCCGCCCGTTTAACAACGATAGTTTATGTCCGATCAACGTGCGCGTGTGACAAACGCAATAATTTTAGGCTACACCAACACAGAGTATAATAATCGTTCAATTATTTATACATATATTATTATCGTAAGCCGGTACTACGACGGACCGTCTCGGTAGTCAGTGGGATAACGAAATCGCAATAATAATGGTATAAATATTATAATAATATAATTATTAACAGTGCTTCGTGGTCGTCGACTTCGGGTCAGGGTCTCTTTTCCGAGCTCGTCTCCTGCAGTCGGTTTGGATAATATTGTACCACTTTTCGCCCGTCGTGGCCCTAATGTCATTACGACAGTAACTGCTCGCGCACTTCTGTAGTTTTGTCGGCCGCCATTGTCGGAATAACTATTTTACGCATATATAATATGAACTAATGTAAAATGTATCTATGCGTATAAAACATATAATGTAAATTCTAGTGTCTCGTATGTATAGTATTTTTGTAACCGATTTTTCAGGAACGATAATCGAGAGCTTCGTTATAATCGCGTTTTAGCGATTTCGTTAATTTAATCACATCGTTTAAAAATCGAAAACGATGAGAATGATAAAAATAACATTTAAAAAAAAAACTGTTAAATTGTTTTAATTGTTTGTCCAATTTGAAAATTACATTAGTATTGCTCTTGTTGTTTTCTTTGTCGTATAATTAATTCGATTTTCTTTTTACCATCTTGATTTGAAAATAACCTTTGGATTTAATTTTATAGAGGTTTAAAAAATATTTCATGAAACCATCTATACGTATAAATGTGCAAAGCTAGTATAAATAACTTACGAAAACGAGAAAATACTAAGTTTTTTTAATAAAGAAATAACACGTTTCAATTTCCCGTATACAACTGTGAATTAAATTTCTTATATACGTTGTACCTACAGATGCATTTCTTTGAACATATCATCTTCTGAAAGAAAATCTCGTTGGATATAAGCACTTGACACTGTCTAGTACAACACTGTAAATGGAACTAATTAAATTAAAAAATGTCAGTATTGTAGAAAACATAAACCCATACACCTATACCTAAGTCATTTTTTTATAGACAAAGACTAAACAAGTGTAATTTATTAAATTTAACAAAAAGTATTATTTATCATTTTTATCCAAAGGTAACATGCACTCTCTTTTCTAGTTTAGTTTAGATAACATTTTCATAAAATGTAATTGTAGATATAGCCAATATTTTACATTATGCAGTTCAAAATTAATAAACTACTGTACAGTTAAAATCTCTTAATTTAACAGTTTATAGGTATAAAAACAATTGATTTCAGTAAAAATAAGTAATGTAATAATTTTTTCAATGACTTTTTCTTATCAAAAATCATAATATTTAAAATACTGATATTATAGTTCCATCTTTATCCGTATTTATCTATTAAAACAATTTTTTATAACATGAATTTAAAAGGTATTTTTTATTATCAAATAGAATATTAAAATCGTACGTAGGCATCGGATACATCCTTATTCATGTGATTTGCATACAAATAATGACAATCTATCTTGATACTATTTATTTTTTAATGATACATTTTACAAAAAACTGTATTTTTATCATTTCGCTTACAAACATAATAGACACAATTTTTTTAAGCTTCATTATTTAATCGTTCCATTACTTATTTTTGTTATTGTTTACATATTTTGAACAAATTGCATTACATTTATAAATTGAAACTTGAGAAATTTAATTAAATACCTTCTTCCAATGTTTCACTTTAAAATAAACCTTGAACCTAACATTTTCTCAGGCACTTATTTTGAGTTAATTTTATTGCTCAACTTTTTCAATATTATATTTTCTAATAAATCTGTAATTATGCATATTATGAATGTTATACGCAATGAATTCATTTATTGATCACAATTAAAATGTACCCAGAATATATTATTATATAATTTGTATTTTAATTCACATCACTCATAAGTGCAGTGGAGTTATGCTATGGTTATTCTATAAGTACCCGTCGAGATAATACTTATGTCTGTCTTTCTTCAATAAGCCAACTCACAGTATAGCTGTTAATACTCTAATTTAATGTTAATATTGATTTTTGTAATATTATGAGTGTATCTCCGTTAATTGAACTTAATAAGTCAAACATCAATACATTTTTTTTATAGGTCTCATGGGTTCGACATCGAGGTATTCACTTGCTAACCGTGGGTCGGTACACGTATACCAGTGACCAAAGATTCCAAGCAATACATTCACCCCAGAATGAAGACTGGACACTACAAATACGGTATCCTCAAATTAGAGATAGTGGATACTACGAATGTCAAGTTGGTACAACGCCTCCAATTGGGCATGCAATGGTTTTAACAGTTGTTGGTGAGTAAACAATATTTGAATGTTTTTAACTTTGTTAAAATATTTGTTTTTTTTAACTTGACAAACAAACCACAATTTCCATTATTCTTCATCTATCATCGTGAATACCGATCTGCAAGCATACTCGGCTAAACGAGTCAGTTGCTAAATACTGTAGTATGATGGATAATTTGAACTAGGTATTTGCAAACATTTCAAACAGTTTTATCCATAAATAAAATTTAAAACTAACTTAATATAACAATAGTTTTATCTTCAAAATCACGAGAATATAGAAATCGGCCATTCTCACATTACAAATTATATCTCTTGGTCAGTACTCAGTTATAAAGTATGTCTATAATGCCTATTATAATATATTGTGTGATCATTTTATTAAGTTTAAAAACGATTATTGTCAGATTCTAAAAATGATTCCGAGTAGAATTGTTTTGAGAGTTAAAAAAAACAATAGCAACTTTGTAACTTTAATATTATTTGATGTGCAATCTACAACCAATTTCAAATCGAATGATGTAAGATATAAAACTTTTGGAGCACTTAAACTACACTAAAAAGGATTTTACAAAAAAAATTACATTATTTGTTAAGCCAATAGCATCAAAGATCCACTTAGAATCCAAAACCTTTAAAGTCGCTTAAGAATAATTATACTCTAATATACTATACTATATATAATGTTAAAAATATTCAATCTATTTTAAAAGTAGGTACACATCTTTAATAGTAAGTCAGAGTTCTCCATCATATTTGGCGTTGTTAATTTATAAACAAGCAACTAAAATATAAGTGTAGGGCCACTGTCATGGAAATATTTAATACCCACAAATGTTTTTAATCTGTAAAACAGTTCCAGATGGGTTAAAAATAATCTTATTTTACCCTTAAAAAGAACTAGGTACTTTTTTATTGCATATTTTTCCAATACACTCATGGTTATCTTGTTTTTTATTAGTAATATATTTAAAACCCACTTAAAGTATGTAGTTGATGAAATAAAGCTTAAATAATACTCAACATTCAATACCCATGATAATGTAATATTAATATTTAGATTACACTTTAGTTTGAGTTACACGAAATTTATACTGTATCCTGGAAGTAATTAATTAATCTAGCTTAATTTAACTTTTCCTTGAGATTCTGAACGACAAACGTGGTAGAATTGTAAAAGTTTCATAAATTTGTCCAATTTCGATGATTAATAAGGCTTTAAAAGTTAAAATATTAATTTTGTTTTTATTCTATACAATTTATAAGGATCTGAAAACATAATATAGTTATACAATTTTAAATGCATATTATTTCAATTATTATGATACAAATTATAAGAATATTAGTGACTGAATATTTTTTGTCTATGTAGTTCTTGCTGTGTTCGAATTAGGTCAAAAAATATACATATATATGTTTATATCGCAACAACTGAATTGCTTCAGCGATTTATCGTTTGAAGGTTCAAGTGGAGTCTACGGTTTATCGGCTATTGGTCTGAGCTGTGTCCACAATAATTGTTTGCCGGTATAAATAATTGTGAACCATTAAGGTTTTATCACTGGGATGGTGGGATGCCTCAACCATTTCGATACCTTATCTACAGATATCGCCAAACAATAAAGGGAATATAGCTGAACTTTTTTATGAAAAAAATAGCTATACTGAAACAGTGATATTTTAAGCTATTCAAATTGTATGCTATATTAAGCATATTATATTATAATAAAAAATGATACAATTTTAAGTGTTGAAATTAAATTATTAATAATGGTTAGAGATTTGCTTCTCTGAGTATTTAAAAAAGGAACATTTAAAGATGGTAACTCATGTTTAAAATGTATGTGTAAATCGTATTAATATAAATGACAGCAGTTCTCACTTCTCAATCTGTAAAAGTTATAGAAAAATATATCATTTTTAATTACAATTGAGATGCTATATAATATAAACGCAACTCGGACCTTTTGTTGAAAACCCACAGACACAACTCTGATCTGTTGTACGGAAAATAGCAATTTCGCAAAAAATATGATTTTCGAAAGTAACACGAATGCGCTGGTAGATCTTTTATTAATTTTAAGTACTTAAAAATAGATTTCCGAGTAAAATGATTTAAGGTTGTATTCTTACTTATGGAACTGAATAAATTTGGACCAGACTCGTTTTTATCAAACGTTAAATTTCGAATTACATTAGTATAAAAAACATATTTTATTTTAAACAAGGATGTATTATATACCCCTGCTAAAAAAATATGCTAGCCTATCTTTTCCTCCATTAGGAGGTAAAAATCACCTGTCACAAGGTTTCTCCTCTAGCTATTATAAAATAATATAATCGATTACACCAATTTCGTATTGTACAGATTGTGTTTAAAAAAAATATAAATAGATTTATTCAAAAGTATCAAGGTGTGCCTCATATTTATAAACATCAAAAAGAATATGAAATATGTTTATTGTGTATACATTCTACATGTAGTTATAAAGCCTAATCTATTATGATTAATATAGGTCTTGGAAATAATGTGTAAACCAATATTTGTTAAAAACACACTTATGTTTTGTGTGTATTTTAAATTTTTTTAATGAAAACTCGTTAGTTCAGTTTAAATAAAAATAAAATATGTAAATACCCTTTTAGATATTATGAGAGAATAATAATTAAAGCATCATAATATTGTTTTTAATCATATATTTAATGCATAAACTACTACAACTCTGGTTGTTGTAGTCAGATTTTTTTATATTATTGTGCCACCAACAACTATGTAATTGCTGTGATAATATATAGTATATCAGGGTAATTTACACGATGTTAAACAGCTCGTTAAGTAATATTTATTGATACACAAATGTCATTTCAATTTTTTGGTTGTTATAATTATTTAAAGAGATTTCCTTCATGTTGAATTTACACTGCTAGAACATAATAAATGTACAAATATATAAATGAAATTTTTATGTTTTTCACAATTATACCAGTTTTTATTTGATTATTTATATTTTAAATAGTAAACTTTAAAATATATCTAGTTAATATATAATAAATATCATGTCTGAAATATTGAGGTTATTTTTTAAGCATGCTTAAGAAATCTCTCTGTATTATCTTTTAATCGTAAAAAACGTAATTTAGGTACATTGTAATGTTTGACAACATGAAATGCGTTGACACTTATTAGTTATTAGTTTATAATATTATTACCTATTTAAATTATTTTTATAAGTTCATAATATAATAGGAACATAAGATTCTTGGAAACTTAGCTTAATAACTAGGTACTGAAAACTAATAATGCTTTATTTCATACTATGACCATTATCACTATAAGTTGTTACTTAATATTGTAATCATAAAAAATATAAAACACGGTTGTATTATTTTAATATTATTTTTTGTGTTGGTCAAAACTCCATTCAATACAATTTACTTCTCATATGAAAAACAGAATATTTTATCTCCGCAGAAAATTCCTCAAGTAATACTAAAAATCTCGAGAATTTAAAAAAAGGTCTTTTAGTATATTTAAAATTTTTATAAATCAGATTATGAATAACTGTATAATTTAAGAAAAAAAGAGCTATGCATACTTGGTAAATCATTCTATATTATTACATACGAATTAATAATTTGTAATAAACACAATATTAGTTACAGCAGTTTATTTAAATTGGTTTACAAAATTTCATTAATTTTAAATCATAGAATCAACACATTTTTTTTTTGATTTAAAAATATCATGTATTATATTTATTAACTATATTGTTTTAAATTTAAGTATATTCATTTATTTTAGTAAGCCATCTTCTACGTAATTGTATTACATTATTCACATGTGTTTGTTACTGCGTATGATAATATTACATTCTGGTTTAAGTTTTTTTATACGTTTATTTTAACTATTATTTTATTTATTTATTATTTCACACCATTATACAACAAATATACATTAAAAAAAGTAATTGCTTGGATCCCATAAACGAATCAAATATGAAAAAGTGATAGTAACGAATTCAAGTGAATTTTTCATAAGAAATATAAAAAATAGGAATTGTCAATAATCCGAATTGCTACATTCATCGTCATTATAAATTATACATTATAACTATGAATTTAAAGAATTGACAAATAATATGAAATTTCAAGATATTAAAAAATGTTTTGTTTATTATAACATAAAATTTGCATGCATATTAACTTATTCCCAGCTCCCCCCCCCCTCCCCCCGGACTTACAATAAGCTTTTACTTATATTATTGCATTTTTATTAATTTTGTAGAAATTAAGGCTATTTCAGTTTTATATTTAGATCCACGATGGCTTATTTTTCTAAAGTATATATTTCAATACCTATAATATAATTACATAGTATAAAAATAGTTATTTACGCCAACCTAAAATCTATTATCGCCTATTATCTATTGTTTTCGTCTAAATACCAATTTTCTTTTAATTTGTATTCAAATACTTTTAAATCAGAATAGGTACCTATCTAGTATTCTTCTGGACCAGAACAAAGGTTCCTTCTTGTTTATATATTAGTCTGAGCACGTAAACCAAAGTATTTGTTAAGTTTTTCAAACTTTGTTATTTTTAGTTTTTCTTTACTAGTATTCGATTACTCAAAGCATTTTCAACCGTTTATCGAAACGATACACCGAATAAAACGTAGATGACAAGACGATGGAAATAGCTATTTTTTCCATCTAAACGTTTTCTTCTATCTTCAAAATGAATTAAAGAAAAGTTTTAAAAAGTCAGTGCGACAAAATGTTGAACAAATCGTCACTGTCGAAGTTAAATTAAGACGAAAGCACGCACGTGCGGAAGTTTGAACTATTTAATTTGTTCAAGTGTTCTTTTTTTCATTTCACCCTTTTGAGGCAGCAGTTGACGGGCAATTTGGTTTTGTCCGTGACATTCGGGGAGTCGGGGAGAGGAAAGCGTGCCTACAAAACAAACGCAGCAACTACGTTAAAGTTTGAAATTTTGTTCTTAAA